CTGCCCGCCCCGGCTCCGCCGGTGCCAACCTGGCGGCGGTCAGACGGGCGAGTCGCTCCATGCTGTGGGCCGGCCGCGCGGGAGGGGGAGCCAGTCGGGACCCTCCCGGGGTCGGGGTCGCCTGACCGCTCCAAGTGACAGCCGTGGGACTCTGGGGCCGCGGCCCGCGTGGACAAGCGTTGGCCCGGGCGAGGTGCCCGGCGTGCCAGCCCCCGAGTCCAGGCCCGGGCTCTGAGCTTCAGAGGCTTGCTTTGTTCCCACTTCAGAGGTGCGGTGGATCCCCAAAACTAGCCCCTCCGCGACCTGGGTGGACGCCTAAATGTAACAAAAGGGACTGCTGTGCAATGATTTTAAGTTTCAGAGAATTTGGAGATTTTTTTTTCTTTAATATAGTTTATTATTTTCTTAATATTGTCTAATTTTGATTCCTTGATGTAGTTTTAGTGAAACATGTTTGATTAACGTCCTTGTTGAACACCTTTTCTTCTGGGTGCTCCTTATTTCCCCCTCCACTGTTATAAATTTGGCATGCCTACTTCTAGTTCTTTAAAATATCTATGTGTGTATGTGTGTGTGTGTGTGTGTGTGTATGTAGTTTTATGAATTTGAAATGATTTATTTCTACACTGAATTTATTGTGTAATAGTTAAAATTTTGAAAATCTAATTTTACTGTTAACTAGGTTTAAACATGCCTCATTCTTTAGTAGAATGGTGGACATTCTTCTGTGCCTTAAAGTCTCAGTTAAAACACTCAATTAGAACCATTTGTACGCCCTCATTTTATGCCAGTATGTAGATCTGGGTGTGTTTTTTTCATTTTCCACAGAGTGAATTTTTTCGAAATGACTACCTCTGTCTCCTCCCCCTTTTCTTTTTTTAAGACTAATTGTAATGGTTGGAGACTTTTTAAAAATAAGCTGACTTTTGTGCATTCTTTAAAGGAGCAATCTTATAGGTTAATGAAATCTTGTTAATGGAATACATGTTACATGTTTTATTCAGTATCATTTATTGACGGTGATAAAAATACTGATCAGACAAAGGCTGTTTAAGAATGCTTTTTTTTAAAAAAAGGAATTATTTTATTTAACTTTATTTATTTTAATTTGACCAGAGAGGGACAGAATAAGAGAGAGAGAGAGAGAGAGAGAGAGAGAGAAAGAGAGAGAGAGAAAGAGAAAGTGAGAAAGCAAGCTGCTAGGTCCTGGACTTGAACTGTAGTCAGCCATGTGGGAGTCCAGGGCCTTTAACCACCATGCAACCGCCCTGCGCTGCTCCGAGTCCAGGCCCGGCGTCTGAGCTTCAGAGGCTTGCTTTGTTCCCACTTCAGAGGTGCGGTGGATCCCCAAAACTAGCCCCTCCGCGACCTGGGTGGACGCCTAAATGTAACAAAAGGGACTGCTGTGCAATGATTTTAAGTTTCAGAGAATTTGGAGATTTTTTTTTCTTTAATATAGTTTATTATTTTCTTAATATTGTCTAATTTTGATTCCTTGATGTAGTTTTAGTGAAACATGTTTGATTAACGTCCTTGTTGAACACCTTTTCTTCTGGGTGCTCCTTATTTCCCCCTCCACTGTTATAAATTTGGCATGCCTACTTCTAGTTCTTTAAAATATCTATGTGTGTATGTGTGTGTGTGTGTGTGTGTGTATGTAGTTTTATGAATTTGAAATGATTTATTTCTACACTGAATTTATTGTGTAATAGTTAAAATTTTGAAAATCTAATTTTACTGTTAACTAGGTTTAAACATGCCTCATTCTTTAGTAGAATGGTGGACATTCTTCTGTGCCTTAAAGTCTCAGTTAAAACACTCAATTAGAACCATTTGTACGCCCTCATTTTATGCCAGTATGTAGATCTGGGTGTGTTTTTTTCATTTTCCACAGAGTGAATTTTTTCGAAATGACTACCTCTGTCTCCTCCCCCTTTTCTTTTTTTAAGACTAATTGTAATGGTTGGAGACTTTTTAAAAATAAGCTGACTTTTGTGCATTCTTTAAAGGAGCAATCTTATAGGTTAATGAAATCTTGTTAATGGAATACATGTTACATGTTTTATTCAGTATCATTTATTGACGGTGATAAAAATACTGATCAGACAAAGGCTGTTTAAGAATGCTTTTTTTTAAAAAAAGGAATTATTTTATTTAACTTTATTTATTTTAATTTGACCAGAGAGGGACAGAATAAGAGAGAGAGAGAGAGAGAGAGAGAGAGAGAAAGAGAGAGAGAGAAAGAGAAAGTGAGAAAGCAAGCTGCTAGGTCCTGGACTTGAACTGTAGTCAGCCATGTGGGAGTCCAGGGCCTTTAACCACCATGCAACCTGCCGGCCCCAAAAATGCTGTATTTTGAGCTCTTACCAGTATGCAGTATAAAAACAATTTAGGCATGTTTTCCAAAGAGTTATCTCATTTTTACAATTAAGTTTGTTAAGTTTGACAGAATTGAACTTTGATATACAAGTCTCTTTGTAGATTAATTCAGTGCTTAAATCCATCTTATTCCAGTTATTTGTGTAGAGGTATAAGGCTTACATGGTATGCATTATGCATTCCAGTTTCTGTAGGGTACAAGTCATCGCAAAACCTGGCCTTGTTTTACTTGGCATAAAAGATCCTTTCAAGAAAAATAATCTGTTTTTAATATCCTGGTTAAAGCATGAGGAAAGGATAATAATCTTGTAAAAGTACCTAAAATTCTTTAACAAAACACGATCAGCATCTTATTTGAAAAGATCACAGTTTTTAAAAAAGAATTATTTATTACTATTTTTATAATTATTTATTATTATATGGCACTTGTGCTCACCAGAGAGAGACAGAGAGAGGGAAAGTGAGAAAGCAAGCTGCTCGGTCTGGGACTTGAACTGTGCTGCTGAGCCATACAGGAGTCCAGTTCCTTTAACAACCATGCCACCTGCTAGCCCCAAGATCACAATTTTTTTTTTCAAATATCAATTTTTTAAAGAGATATTTTTGCTATAGGGCATGTGCGCTTGCCAGAGAGAGAATGAGAGACAGAAAGTGAGAAATCACTCCCCAGGGAAGATGGCCATGCTGCAATCCTTTCTCCTCCATTCTCCTCTCAGGATTTTGGGCACACATACACACTCCTGGCATGAATTTGAAGCTGCCAGGTCAGGGACTCAAACTGCAGTTGAGTACGTGGGTGTCCAGTGACATAACTCTAAAGCCATCTACTCATCCCAAGATCACAATTTTCTTTTTTAAATTCTTTATTAATTTTACATATTATTTTTCAGTCTGACGAGAGAGAGAGAGGAAGAGAGAGAGGAAGGAAACTGCCAGGTCTGGGACTCAAACTGCAGTTAGCCTTGTGGGAGTCCAATGCCCTAACCACCTGGTCACTTGCCAGCTCCAATATCACAATTTCAAAAAAAAATATTTTACATTTGTTATAGGGCACATTTGCTCATTGCAGAAAGAAAGAGCAGGAAAGCGAGAAAGAATTCCCAGAGTGATAACCATTCTGTAATCTTTCTCTTACATTCTTTCATGATTTTGGGCACATCCACACCATGCCTGGCACCTGGTGTTTTCCTAATTTATTTTCGAAGCCATTGGGGCTGGGATTTGAACCGCGTAGTCAGTGGGATCCAGCTATCTTAAGCACCATGCTACTGACTGGCATGATCGCATTTATTTTGCTACACACATCCCAGATATATATTCTCTTGTATCACCTGTTTCTTAATCTTTCTCTGTCATAACAAAATACCATAGAGTGGGTGGGTTAAACAACAGAAATTAATTTTTTCACAATTCTGAAGGCTGAAAGTCCAAGATCATGGTGCCAGTACGATTGTGTCTCGGTGGGGGCTCTCTTCTTGGCTTGCAGTTGACTGTCTTCTCAGTGTCCTAACATGGCAGAAAGAGAGGACAGGCTATCTTTTGTTTCTTATAAGATCACTAATCATTTCCATAATGAGGACACAGTCAAATGTCCTAATCTAAAGTGATTTGAAGAAAATAATAGGTTAATTTTTGTGCTTTAATTATGTAGAAGTAAAAGTTTAGAGCTGGCTTTGTGGCCTAGTACTTGAGGCCTCTGGATCCCACTTGGCTGATCATATGGCTCAAATCCTGGACCTGGTGGCTTCAGAAACATGCCAGGCCTATATGCTTGTGTTCCTGAAATCTTGAAAGGAGGCAGAAATGGAGAAGGGATTGTGGTGTGACCATTCCCGATGGGGAGTGTTTTCTCCTCTACTTCTCTCTCTTTCTCTCTTTGGCAAGTGTACGTGCCCTCTAGCAAGGGGACACACACACACACACACACATACTCGAAGTAGAGCATCCCTAATCTGAAATTGAATTGTTTGTAAATCCAAAACTTTTTGAGTGCTAACATGATGCCACAAGTGGAGATTCCTAACCTGATCTCACGTAGTAGGTCGCAGTCAAAACACTACAATACTAAAATATTGCCTAAAATTACCCTGTTATGTGTATGAGGTATGTAAGAAAATGAATGAAAGATGGCTTGGGTGCTATCCCCAAGGTATCTCATTGCATATATGCACATATTCCAGAATCTGAAAATATCTAAAATCTGAAACATCTCTGGTTCCAAGCATTTGAATAAGGGATACTCAATCTGTACAAGCTTCTTTCATTTATAAATGAGAACAAAAAGATAATCCAGAGAGCCTTTTTTTGTTGTTGAGAGATTCATGCTGTAGGACTTGTGTGTTTGCTGGGGAGACAGAGAGATGGAGAGAGAGAAAATGAGAAATCAACCCCCTGGGGGTTGGCCCTGTGCAGTCTCTTCTCCATTCTCTCAGGATTTTAGGGCACACATACACATGTGCCCAGTGTGTTTCAAGCTGCTAGGTCTGGGACTCAAATCATGGTCAGCCATGTGGGAAACCAAAACCTTAACCACTCTCCCACCTGCTGGCCCCTAAGGAGCCATTTTCTTTTTCTTTCATTTTTGAAAGTTTTTTTGCTATAGGACGCTTAGGCTCATGTGCACTCGCTAGAGAGACAGAAAGGGAGAAATCGCTCCTAGGGTTGATGGCCACACAGCAATCCCCTCTCCCTCATTCTTCTCTCAGGAGTTTGGGCATGCACACGTGCCCAGTGTGTATGTTTTAAGTCATTGAGTCCAGGACTCAAACTGAGGTTGACTCTGGGAGTCTAGCACTGTAACCATTACACCACCTGCTGGCCTCAGGGAGCCATTTTCTAAACAATTTAGAATACTGTTGTAATTCCAAGTTGCCTGAAGAACATTAAATTAGAATTTAAGTGTAGTTTATAAACATAAATGTAAAATCTTTAAAGTTTGAGATTTCCCTAGCTGACTATACTGGTGGTCTCTCTCTCTCTCTCTCTCTATGTGTGTGTGTGTGTGTGTGTGTGTGTGTGTAAGTTTAAAAAGCAGATACAGAGATCAGCAAATAAAGAACTGAGAGAGATTTTCAGCTACTTTGTAACATCTGCTTTGCAGGCCTCTATTAAAAATATAGTTCTAAAATATCTAAACTGCAGGCCTTGTCATTTTCAAGAGGTTTCACGTCCATTAACCACTCAAAATCACTAAGCTATTTTGTGTTAAGATTCTTGTCAGTTTTCTGGTATCTTTTTCTCAGGTATCTGTTCTCTCCTTCTCTTCTCTCTCTCTCTCTCCTTCTCTTCTCTCTCTCTCTCTCTCTCTTTAACAGAGTAACTATTTTTTTTCCCCATTTTAGGAAATTTTATATAACATGTAACAAACACATTTGCCAAAGGTAACTTTGGTTCTTTAACAGCAAGGGATATAAATGAGTTCTCTGTAATCTGTTTATATTAGAGCTTTTAAAAAATAAATGAAACAATTTGAGAGGATTTGAGGAAGTTAATGGAAAATGCAATTAAAATAAAAGTTTATTTGGTGCAAAAAAAAAAAATCCGTGTACTTTTTTTAATGGTACAGATTCCCCATAAACTTTAAAAATAGTTCTTTAGTCTTTTTTTTAAGAGAGATTTTTGCCATAAGGGTGTGTGTGCTCACCAGAGAGACAGGGAGACAGAGACAGAAAGCTAGAGAAATCCCTCCCACCCCCATGGCAGTCTTTCCTCTTCCATTCTCCTCCTGGGATCTAGTTGCACACATGCCCAGCAAGAGCTTTAAGCTGCTGGGACTTGAACTGCGGTCAACTACATGGGAGTTCGGCAGTGTAACCATTACGCTATCTGCTGGTTCCCAAAATATTATTTTTATTACTTTCATTTTCTCAAACATTTTAAAAGAAGTGTAAAACCAGATTTTTTTTTTTTTTTAAGTTTGCTACTGGGCACGTGGGCTCAGAGAGAGAGAGCTAGACAGGGAAAGTGAGGAATCATCTGACCATGGTCCCATCTCTTCCATTCTCCTCTCAGGAATGTGGGCACGATACACATGTGCCTGTCATGATTTTCAATCCTCCTGGTCTGGGACTTGAACCACTGTCAGCCATGTTGAAGTCCAGTGACTTAAACATCTGCTGACCCTTCCCTTTTATTAACCTGTTTTACTTGTAAGCCACAAATAACCTAAATACACTTTTCAATGAAAGAATGCTTTTGATACTCAATAAACTACCAATAATTAATATTTTGAATTTTTTAAGTCCTGAAAGTGTAATCTTAGAGCTTTTTATTAACCTTAAGATTATTTAATATTATCAACTGAATATTTTTTCTCTTTTTAAAAAAATATTTAATTTTATTTATTATTGTTATTAATTTGCTATAGGGCACATGTGTCACCAGAGAGAAAAAAAAATAAGTGAGTGAAAGCAAGCTGCCAGGTCTGGGACTTGAACCATGGACCATGTGGGAATCCAGCATCCCTAACCATCATACTACCTGCTGGTCCCTTATCAACTGAAATTTATGGAAGTTTAGAGACTGATGGGTAGCATGGTGGTTAGGGTACTGGACTCCCGCATGGCTGACCACAGTTCGAATCCTGGACCTGGAGGTATGCGCTCTCTCTCTCTCTCTTTCTCTCTCTCTCTCTCTCTCTAATTTCTCTGGTCAAGTTGAATAATGATAAAAATAATGATAATAAAAAAAAGAGTACACATTGTTCCACACTCAGAATCGACAAATTAAAACAAAAATTAAAAAGAAAGCAAAGGAAGTTTAACGCATTTGTTTAAAATCCAAATTATACTAATTAAATAGATTAGTGTTACAGAAGTTGTCTAACCTATTTCATAATTCTTTTTGTAGGATCAGAGTGTTAGGGTGGTGATTTATTTTTCTTTCAGAGCTATTTGCAGGGGAAGGGGACTTTCCAATTTTAAACAGGACTTTAGAATGATTTAGCTCAAGCACAGGAAAGTTTCTTGAGCTTAAAAGGCTTTCATTAAGGATGAAAATTAACATTTCAATAGAATTAGTCAGTGTTTGTGCCTTTGGAATCAAAGAGCCGAATGTATGGTTCTCATCTAATTGCAGCACATTCTGTTGCAAATTCTAGATATGGGTTAAGATTTTCTTGTGTACATGATAGAGATCTGAATTCAAATTTCTTAGGTTTCAGTAGCTGGAAGAAAAGGATTGAATAAGAACTTCATGCTTCCTTGTTTTGTTTGTTTTATTTTTTTGATAGTCTGATTAAAAGTCTTTACATTATTGTTGATGCCCTTAATGATATGTTCAGGTAAAAGGGAAGTGAGTCAATCTTTGAGCTTGGTTTCTATGAAGATGTGAAATTTAAAAAATGACAAACATCTATTTTGGGCATATACTTATGCTATTTTTAAAAAGTAACATTATGCCTCCCCCACCTCCTTTTGCCCACATGGTTTGAAACAAGGTTTCATCACATTCTTTGTAAAGCAGGCAGTTAGGCTATCTGGAGTCCAATTTTTTTTTTTTTTTTTATTTAGAGAATTTTGCTATAGGGCATGTGTGCTCACTGGAGAGACAGAGGCAGAAAGCGAGAATTCACCCCCACAATTCCTTATTCTCCACTCTTCTCTTGGGATTTTGGACACACACGCACATGTGCTTGGTGTGAGTTTTAAGCTACTGCGGCCGGGACTCATGGTTGACTGACATGGGAATCCAACGATGTTACCATTATGCCACCTGCAGGTCCCTCATTTTTTTTTTTTTTTATATCTATTTTTCTAGAAAGATTCTTTGTTATATGACAAGTGTCATCAAGTGTGCTTGCCAAAGAGACAGAAAGTGAGAAATCACCCCCTGTGGGGTTGGAAGGGGATGGCCATGCCGCATTCTCCTCCATTCTCCTCTTGGGATTTTGGACATGTATACACATACCTAGTGTGAGTTTCAAATCTCCAAGTGTGGGACTTGAACTGCCGTTGGCCTTGTGTGAGTCCAGTACCTTTACCACCTTGCATGCCACCTGCTTGCCTGAGTTCAATTATTTTTATAGGATTCATTGTTACTTCTCTCAAATGCAAGCTAGAGATCTTTTGTTCAGTATTTTTATGTGAAGAAAACGAACCCACGTCAAATTTCAATTTAGCTTAATTAGCTCAAGTATTTATATTCTAGAATATGAGACTGTCTGTACCTACTTGGCTTAAAAAGCTTTATAATTGTAACTAAACTTTTACATTAGCAGAATTAACAAATAGAATTTATCTTACAATGAAAATTGTAGTTTTCTAATTCTGAATACTTGCTTGTTCAGAGTTCTAATTTTTGATGGACATATCTTGATTCCAAGGATAATTAACTTTTAAAAAATTATTTTATTCAATTTCTTTTATTCATTCATTCATTTATTTTAATTTGACCAGAGAGAGAAACAGAGAGGAAAGTGAGAAAGCAAGCCACCAGGTCCGGGACTCGAATCATGGTCAGCCATGTGGGAGTGTCCACATGCCACCACGCCACTTGCCAGTCCCCAGATCATTAACTTTTAATATTTGTGAAATGATTTCAACAATTTACAGTAACACCTTGCTTTAAAAAAAATTATAGGCTTGGGGACCAGCAGATGGTGTAATGGCTACGTCACTGGACTCCCATGTAGTTGACTGAGATTCAAGTCCCGGACCCAGTGGCTTAAACTCATGCCTGGAGCATGGTCATACATGCCCAAGATCCCAAGAAGAGAATGGAGAAGAAGAAATTTATAGGCTCGAAGTATTTTTAGGTTGCTTTTTTTTTTTTTTTTTTTTTACATATTTGGAAACAGAAGCGTGAAGAGTTTAAATGTTTTTGTATAAGGTTCATCTTAGAACCAAAACTTTTAAGATCCTTGATTTCAGCCTTCCTTTCTCCTACATTCTTTATTGTTTATTCTATACTTTTACCCCTCAAACTGATTTTTCCAAACAGTCCCTTTTGCCAGTAGTAGTTGCCATCTTCTTCTCGTGTTAGAACCTTGAGTTACTTTCAGTATGTCTCCCATTATCAGCAGTGGTCAGTTTGAGTCTGCCTGAGTCTTATATCACAAGAATTTTCTCTATTTTCTTCTCATTCCAGTTGGATCCTCATACTTTGATACTGGGTATACTTTACTGATTTCCTAACCACTTTCCCTTTTCCAAGTTGTTCTATACTGTAAATTGCTATTAAATTCACATTTTAGAAAATACTACCTATTTTTCTCACTCAGTTTTGCTCTTATACCATTATGGTTTTTTTATTGAGTACTAACATCAACACTTTTCTCCCCTCACATGACAGGATATGTTTGTTCACCAGAGAGAGAGAAAAAAAGCATTTCCCAAAAGGTGTGATCTTGCCACAATCATCTTTCTCCCATTTTTCCATCCCTTCAGGATCTTGGGCACACAGGCACAAGTGCCTGGTGTGTTTTTGTGTTTTTATGTTTTTCATTCCACTGGGGTTGGGATTTGAATCTTGGTAGATCATGTGGGATCTGGCTTTCCATACACAGTGCTTTAACTACTCTGTTCTGGGACTGGCCTGACATTAGCACGTATTTATCATGCTTTTGCTCTTTATGGTATTGGTATAATACTTATAGTACTTGTGTCATTAAGCTCTAGGAGAATGTAAAATATGTTTATGGCATGATATTCATCTCATTTTGTTGTAAGGAGATGGGGTTTAATTTAATCTTTGATTCCTACCTACTTCAAGTAATGTGTTACTCACTGAGGAGACTGCATAAATACTGAGAAGTTTAACAAGAAAAAAAAAAGTAGTGATATATTTTTCTTTTTTTTCCCTGCAGGTTCCTGTTGCATGTAAATCATGTCCCTGTGGTTATATATTTATTAGCAGAAAACTATTAAATGCAAAATACTCAGAGAAATCACCACCTTCTACAGGTAATTATCAGAGTTTAAGACATTGTTAGCTTTTTTATATCGAAATTTTAAGTTAATTTTTGTGAATTTACTGCTTACACTTTTTGTTGAAGTTAAAAGTTAAAATCTGGGACCAGCAGGTAATGTGGTGGTTGAAGTACTGGACTTCCATGGCTGACTGCAGTTTGAGGTCTGGATCTGGTAGCTTGAAAATCACACTGGATGTGTGGGCATGCATGCCCCAAATCCCAAGAGAATAGAGGAGAAGGGATTGTGGTGTGGCCCTGCCTCTAGGGGGTTGATTTCTTACTTTCCCTGTCACTGTCTTTCTCTCTGTGTCTCTCCAGTGAGTGCACGTGCCCATGGTAAAAACCTTAAAAAAAAAAAAAAAAGTTGAAATCTTTTGAATTGTATATTTGCCTTTGAGGTCAGCTTATGAGATTGATTTATTTCATGTTCATTCCATTACAGTGCTAATTCTCTTAAATGCTGATAGTCTATAATGAATTTTTTATATCTGGAGAATGGAGAACTATTGAAAGGTTTTAAGTAGGGGAGTGATTTAATCTGGTAAGAAAAATCATTTCTTTCCTTTGAGAGATTTTTGCTTTAGGGTATGTATGCTAGCCAGAGAGACAGAAAATGAGAAATCTCCTTCTGGGGGGAATGGCTATGCTGCAGTCCCTTCTCCATTCTCTTAAGATTTTGGGCATGCATGCACATGCACCTGGCATGAGTTTCTTTTTTTTGAGAGAGGTTTTCAAGAAATCACCCCCTGGGAGGATGGCCACACCAAAATCTATTCTCCTTGGGATTTTGGGTGGGCACATACATGCACCTGGTACAAGTTTTAAGCCTCTAGGTCTGGGACTTGAACCACGGTCAACTACGTGGGAGTCCAGTGACATAACCATTATGTCATCTGCTGGTCCCCTAGTGTGAGTTTCAAGCCGCCAGGTCTGGGACTCAAACTGTGGTTGGCCACTTGGGAGTCCAGCACCTTAACCACTATGCCACCTGTTGGCCCCAGAAAAAAACTTTAAAAGCTGAAGTAATAGTTGACACTAAGTAAATTGGCCTTCTATAAAGTATGTAGTTTTGTAAGTATTGACATACGTATATATCAATCAGTTATTACAATATTATGAATATTCATCAGTTCCCCAAATATCCTGATTCTCTTTATAATACCTCCTTCCTGCCACCCTCTACCCAAGGTAACCACTGATCTGCTTTTTGTCACTATCCATATAAATGGTATCATAAATGCTATGTACTCGTTTTAGCCTGACTTCTTTCCCTGAGCATAACTATTTAAGATAAAGTCATATTGGTATGTGTGTCAGTATGACTGTATTCCTTTTTTTGCTTTAATAGTCTTTGTGTGGAAATGCCCTGATTTGTGTATCAATTCACTTGTTGGGTGAATATCAGTTTGGATTTTTTTTCTCTCATGATGGGAGAATTTGCAATAACTACATTTTTTTTTCTTTTTTAATAATTTTTAAAAAAAGTGTCTGTGGAAAAATATAACCTGGTTATAATTTTCTTTTTTTTTTTTGGAGGGGTTTTTGCTGTATGGTGCATATGTTCGCCAGAAAGACAGACAGAAAGCGAGAAAACACCCCCTAGGGTGGATGGCCATGCCACAATCCCTTCTCCTCCATTCTCTCAGCATCTTGGACATGCACACATACATTCGCCTGGTGCGAATTTAAGCCACCAGATCCAGAACTCGAACCGCGGTTGACTACATGGGAGTCCAGGGGCATAGCGATTATGCCAACTGCTGGTCCCTCCCACCCCCATTATAATTTTTAGACTTTTTCTTTACAGTTCCCTGGTTGAGAATATTTAAAATTACTTTGTTTAAATTTGTTGCTTTCCCATTCATGTAAACAGGATTTATTCAAAAGATGTACATATTGAAAGATAAAATTTTATTACTTTGATAAAATCAGAACTTCATGCAGTAGTATTCTCAAAATAAGAGTAGATTGATTATAACTGTATATTGAGCACATGCTATACCCTAGGCAGTATTCTAAACCTTGGACATAAAGCAGTGAATCTGCTGTTAAGGCATGCTCACTGCTGTCATGGAGCTTACGTTCTCCTGGGCAGGGGATGAATAGTAAGCAGATACACAGGAAAAATACCACTTTGTAATAAATGCTTTATAGGAAATTAAAACATTGGAAGCCTACTTTTGATTGGGTGGTTAGGGAAGGCCTCTCTGAGGAGGTGACATTTAAGCTGAGCCTGAGTAGAAGGACTAGGCATGATAAGATCAGGGAGAAAAACATTCTTTTTTTTAAGAGCAATTTTTACTATAAGGTTTGTGTACTCACCAGAGACATAGAAAGCAAGAAATCTCCACCTGTGGGGATGGCCACACCACAATCCCTTCTCCTCCAGTCGTCTCTCGAGATTTGGGGGCACATACCCAGCATGAGTTCCAAGCCACTGTGTCCAGGACTTGAAATGGAGTCCAGTTATGTAACCATTATGCCATCTCATGGCCCCAAGAAAACCTTTTTTTTTTTTGAGAGGTTTTTGCTATAGGGTGCGTGCGCTCACCAGAAAGACAGAGAGAGACAGAAAGCGAGAAATCACCCCCCCAGTGTGTAGGGTGTGGCCACGCCATAGTCACCTCTCCTCTTGGGATCTTGGGCATGTATGCACACGCACCTGGCGTGAGTTTAAGCCACTGGGTCTGGGCCTTGAACCGCGGTCGACTACATGGGAGTCCAGTGATGTAGCCATCACACCAACTGCTGGTCCCAAGAAAAACATTCTTGACAGATGGTGAAGCAAATGAAAAATTCTAAGACTGGACCAAGTGTCTTATTTTTTTTTAAGGTGTGTGTGTGTGTGTGTGTGTGTGTGTGTGTGTGTGCACGTGCCTTAGGCCACATGCGCTTGCTGGAGAGAAACTGACGAGGGAAAGTGAGAGGTCACCTCACCCCTAGGGAGGGTGGACACGTTGCAGTTCGTTCTCCTTTCTTCTCCCCTTGGGATTCTGGGCACACATGCACACACACCTTGTGTGATTTTATTTTATTATTTTATTTAACTTTATTTATTCACTTATTTATTCATTTTGATTTGACCAGAAAGAGATAGTGAGAAAGCAAGTTGGCAGGTCTGGGACTCGAACCATGGTCAGCCACGTGGGAATCCAGCATCCTTAACCAACATGTCACCTGCCGGCCCACTGGTGTGATTTTCAAGCCACCAGGTCCAGTACTCAGACAGTGGTTGGCCATGTGGTAATCTAGTGCTTTAACCACCATACCACCTGCTGGCCCTGACAAAGTTTCTTTTTTCTTTTTTTTATAGAATTATTTTATTTAACTTTATTTATTTATTTATTTATTTATTTTTAAAAATTTGACCAGAGAGGGATAGAGCGAGAGAGAGTGGCAGGGATGGAGAGTGGGAAAACAAGTAGCCAAGTCTGGGACCTGAACTGTGGTTGGCCATATGGGAGTCCAGCGCCCTTAACCACCACATCACCTGCTGGGCCCCAAAGTTTCTTTTTAGGAACAAAAAATACCAGTGTATTTTTAGTGTAGGCTTTAAGAGTAGGAGAATGGGAAAAGAGTTAAGAGGACCAGGCAGGGACCAGATTATGTAGGACTTTGTAAGTAAACAAGAGTGAGAAGTTTGGATTTTGATTGTAAAATGAAAGGAAAAACTGTTATCACGGTGGGGAATGGTGAGGAGAAGATGGTATGCTGTGATTTACATTTTAGGATGATCATTTTGGCTGCTTTGTAGAGAATAGTTTATAGGGGCACAGATGTAAGTAGGCTATTTCAGTAGGTGAACTGAGTGAGGATGCTGACTTAGACAAAGAGTGGTTATAGTAGCAAATGCTTGAAGAAGTGTCTGTATTTATGTCTGAGAGGTCTGTTTACCTTAGAGTCTATAGAAGAAAGCTGTTTAATTTAATTTCTTTCTCTGTGACATGTTGTTCCCTCTCTCTAGAAATGGACTTAATTCCTTGGTTCCTAAAGGCTGGTGGTGGTAGATTGGCTACATAGGAATCATCCAGAGAGTTTATAAAAGATGGATTCCTGGGATTGGCCCTGGGACCTGATGGTTAAGGTGGTTGAATGCCACATGGCCAACTACTTGGTTCAAATCCTAGACCCAGTGCCAGGTGTGCATGTGTGTGTGTATGCCCAAAATCTGGACAGGATGGAAAGATGGATGGGAAGGGATTGTGGCATGACCACGCCACATTGCGGAGTACTTTCTCTCTCTTCCCCTCTTCCTGTCTCTGGCACACATGCTGTCTTGCATTAAAATACAATGAATTTCTCAATCTTGTTCTCTCAGTCTGGTTTAGGTATGGGTGAAGATTCATTCAGTAACTACTTTGGGTTGGGTTGTCAGCTCAGTGCTAAGTCTCTAAAAATTAATAAGAGGTAGTCTTTGCTCTTAGTGGGAACAACTATGCTTATTTTATATTTTTAAATGACAGTATTTTTGTGTCCTGTCTGTGTGTGAATGATTCAGGTGACAAATGAGTTAAGAAACCTGTCAAGGATATAGAGAATTAATGCACCTAGTGTAGAGAATTAAAGATGCTACAAGTATTAACAAGTCTGAACCAGATGAACAAGAGGGAAGAATTTAGAATATTCCCAGGATTCTGACTTGGGTTGCTGATTACAAAGAGGATCAACCAGCTTTGAGGAAAGATGAGGAATTTATTTGGATATAATTGTGAAGCAATCACCTATACAGATTAAAAAAATTTTTTTTTTAATTTGCAGTTAGACATATAGTTAGTTGGAAGCTTAGGGAATAACCTCAGCTGCAGATAAAACTTTTGAGCTATCAGTGAATAGATAGATGGCAGATGATTGTGGAAAATGGATTAACTCATGCTGGAGAATTTGTGGATTAGGAAAAGGAAGAAGTTGAGAAACTAAACCCTGGTAAATACCAATCTTAAAAGAAGGTCAGAACAACTAAGAAATGTTGGTTCTAGGAGAAAAACTAACAGA